GTGCCTTACTATAGTGCCTTACTAGTAGTAACTAAGAAGCTATTAGAAACAAGTGCCTTACTAGTATAGTAACAGTAACAAGTGCATCGCTTCTATTAACATGACATGCCTCCATTTGACCCCCACCCACGCCCGGAGACGCCCCGGTCTACCCATGTCTTCGTCTCGGCCGTCCAAAACGGATCGGTCCCAGTCGTGGCGGTGGTGTCGGCGAGGCGGTGACAACTTGCCCCCTCCACAAAGAGATGATGTTGATGATCAAACATCAGTTGGGGGATCAAACAGGTGGGGGGTTTTTAGGGTTTATAGGGACTGGTTTAGGGTTTAGCACGGAAGTTGGATGATCAAACAGCTGGAAGAAACTCCCAACTTCCCAAAGATCATCCACTGCGCCCTAACCCATCCAATCCGCGCGTCGACCCAAAGGGTCGACACCTTCGACCGCTAGCCCGAGTTCCACGCAGCAACGTCCTCCGGAATCTGGCTAGGCACCTGCGTGTGGCAGGGAGAGGCCCAATTGATGGGCAGTCCGACATGGCAGTCCCAGACGGGTCGTGTCTGGGTTTGGAGCTTAACCCTTTTCTAACCAAGTTCGATCTGTCAGACCGTGTACGGTTTTTCACGAGATTCGTGAGATTCGTGGAGTGCCCCCCCACTGCCCCCCCAAAAAAAGTGAAACAAAAGGGTGAAGAACTCAATGGTTCTCCACTTACTTCCTGGGTCTGGATGGGTGGCCCAAATTGCGGGACCGGACCGGACGACTGGGAGCTGCTATGTATATATATACCCCCAGGCCATCGGGGTGTCCGCTCTGAAACGAGGTGATTCGGGAGGTCACCACCCCTGGCACCGGGGGGCCCTGGTAGTGACCGTGTGGCAGATGGCCGTGTCTTGAAACCCTAGGGCTCCTGGCCCACCTCCTGAGGTGACCAGTGGGTTCGGTGGGCCAGGGGTGGGTGCCAGAGGGGTCTAACCATCGAACTTGAGGAGATGGGCCAGGAGCCCCTCCCAGTTCAACCCCCTTTGGTTCAAGGAACGACCAGTACCAGCCATGGAACGACCAGGACCCTCCCGTTTGGGGTGTCGTGTCTATTTTTTAGCCCCCAACAGCTGTGTCAGGGGTGTCCATGAACCACCCCGACTGGGGGTCCTGGTAGGGTGCCTCCCAATGAAACATTCACGCAATTCACGCCCATAAAGTGATCTTCCCACCCGCCAAGGTCCACCCTTCAACCCCCAACCCCCAGAAACTCCAAGAAACTCCTTGGAAGATCACGTCCATGGACCACTGAAACCACCCCCAAGGGCCATGGTTAATAAGCAAAATCAGGGCCCCCGGGCCATCGGGGTGTCCAATGGACTAGCTCTTTAGAGGTGATTCGGGAGGTCCATTCACCACCCCTGGCACCGGGGGGCCCTGGAAGATGACCGCTCGTGTCTGAAAATCATCGCAGTTGTTGTTCCCCGGCCTCTTGAGTCGCCACCTGGCCAAGGCTGCACGCCGTGAGCCAACCCCCAGGGCTCCAGTCGTACCTACTCAGAAGGTATGACTGGACCCTCTCACCTTCTCAGAAGGTACTTGAAGGCCTTTAGGGAAAGGACCTGGGATTACCATGAGATCATCAAATTCGCAAAAAGAAGTCATACAGCTTGGAACGTCGAACAACACTCAACACCTTCCCGGCCCCCAGTTTCGGGGTGTAAAATTATAGCCCTTTAGAGGTTAAGGGATGTCCATTAACCACCCCTATCCGGGGGCCCTGATACATAGTATGTGCCAAGGGATGTAAATAGCTTCTTAGACTCTTATCGGGTAAAGGGATGTCCAAAAACATATATGCCAACCACCCAACTGACCCGGTCTGGGCGTTTGTCGGCGGGGAGCTTCCTGCCAGTCCCAAGCTATGTCGTGTCTGGAATCTAAAGACGCTTCCCTAGCCAATGGTATGACTGGACCCCCCTGTCACCCAGCCCAGTCGTACCGAACCTGAGGTTCCGTACGACAGCACGAGCCCTTCTGGGAGCAACTGGGGCAGCATTGAAGACTCCCCTGGAAGGCCCTGAAGACTTCGACCAGTCCACCAAGGCCCCCCGGTGCCAGGGGTGGTGAATGGACATCCCGAATCACCTCTGAGCTAGTCCATTGGACACCCCGATGGCCCGGGCCCTGGGACGGTGTTTCCCAAACACTCCATGGGACTGCCATATATGCCGATCAATTGACCTCCAAAACCATCCCAATTGATCGGCATATATGGCAGTCCCATGGAGTGTCTGGGACATGGCCATAGCCAGGTGGGCCTTGGAAAACGTCGACCCTCCGAGCCCCGCAGCTTGGGCATCCGAGCCAGATAGGCCAAGGCGACCACGAAAAGGCCCAGTCCCAGCCAACGGAGGGACTCGGAGGCGGGACGTGGGGGTTCGATGGCCGGACTTCCAAAGGGGTGGTCTATAGACCAATGGAGGGTTCCACTACTAAACCCAACAAGCGGATCAGGATGCAGAAAGGACAATCAGGAGATTAGAAGGTGAGACATGGTCAAACTGACATGTCGTAGAACTGGCGCTGCGTGACAAACAATGAAGTCCAACTGTCATACCGAGCCCGATGACGCCAGAAAATCCCATAGCTGAGGACTTTGACATGTTCTTGCTGCTCGAATGGCCTAGGGATGCCATTGGGGCCTATGGGTGAGACGGTCTAAGTCCTAAGAGTCCTAGGGCCATGGTGATGAGGCAGTGGAGGAACTGCGCTGTAGGAAGAAAGGTGGCGAAATGATTCGCTATATAATATATCTCTTTCAGTTTGTGGTCCAGGATCTGGCAAAACATAAAACCATCCTAAAGCATACTCCCCGGAAGCGGGTTCACCCACATGGAAAACAAGAATCACTATCACCTTAATCAAAGCCAATGTCCCCAACACATTTTAGCTGCCTTAGCTCAGTGAAGCCCGACTTGTTTGAGACCTCCAGCCTACCAACCGCCACTCCAAGCCATGGCATTCTGTTGTTTTTCATGCCAAACCTGGCATCATCTTCAGCTCGCGCCCTTTGGCTCGTGGAAAAACTCAGCTCAAGAAGCACGAGTTATATCTCTCTCGTTCGACGTGTGAAAACACGGCAAAATCTCCGATATCCAGAAGGTTCTGCCACTTCAGCATGTCCTCAAGCCTCAAGACCCTGCCTCCTTTGAGCAATTCATTCCTTGGAAGAAGTAGCAGCGATGCATTCCAGACTGCGAGATAGTCGGGGAGGAAACACATTTGTTCCCTACAGGTTCAGTCTGACTTAGTAAAACCTGGTCCTGAACACCTCATTTACAGGTGTTCTATGTATTGATCAACTCCAGTAAAATGAGGTCTTTGGTTCATTGCACCACAGGTTACAGTATTTAAAAAAACAACAAGAAACACACATGTCCATACCTTCCAGAACTCCCTGAGCCTTCTCAGGGAGAGAAAAACGGGGAAAATGAATCCAATGCATCCGGTGAATCTTCCCAAGTGAAAAAGGGCGATCTGAGCATCTTCACCAGATTTGGACCCACACTCGTGACTGGAAGTGGAAGTTCAGGAAAAAACAAGGAATCCGGACACCAGATTCTTCCTCAAATGGTCTTTGTTCCACTGCCATGCACACCATCTAAAGGCTGCACACTATCTGCACATTGGCTGCACACTATCTGCACATTGCAGAAGTGTTGTGTTCTCAAACCCATCGCTGGGGAGTGTTGCTGGGCTCTCCTTAGAGCCATGGTGTCGATGGAGTGGTTGGACTGGACACCTGTGGTGTCAAAGAAGAATACCACGGTCAAGACCGGCCCCCAAGGAAACGGTTTTCCACTTCTGGACGAATACATCACATCCTAACATGTGAATATTATGTATTATATTACCTACATTGACATACATTGACCCATTTATACCTCTTTGCAACCATCCCAATGTTGGTAAATATGACATGCATGGAGAACATAGACATAGATGGATGACATACTAGTATAGATGATCGTGATCCCGAAAGGAGAATGACCTTCCTTCACAAACAGGGGTACGTACCATCCACTTCCATGTGATATTTTCCTCGGAGCGTAACTCCGGCTGAAGCCATCCAGGTGATGAAGGTGGGTTGTCCCGGCGGCCCCTTCAAACCAATCCAACAAATATCCCAAACCTTCCGTTGGATGCACATCTATGTCCGGTGCATGTGGGGGTGGGAAACCACGTTGCATAAGAATAGCTGAGTGCCACCACACACCCTAATCAGCCTCTTGCCTCAGTCTTCTAGGTTGTGGTGGTGAACATCAGGAGGATTTGCGGTGAGTTTCTGACATCAGAGCTGGTTCACCTGATGTTTATTGCAACCAGCTGTTCTTCTCCACAGCTCTGATTAATACCAGCTGTGATTCAATGCAAACTTCAAACTTCGCTCCCATAGACTCAGCTCTTTACATTAGACTCCGCTGCTCAGCTGCCTCCCACATCTTCAACATCCAACCACTCCCATCGCTTCATCTCTGATCAAATACAGCTTCTCAGCTTCGAGCCAGCTCCAGCGGGTTGTCCTTGGAATGAGGATGGTCTGTTTGATCCTGCGCCATCTTGAAGTGGCCCATGTCGACCGTCACCCGTAGCATCCCATAGCCAAATGGCTCTGTCACAAGTCGGCGCCGTGAATATCTTTCAGCTATATAAATGACGCACTTAGTGGGCCGGGCTCCCTCTCTCTCTCTATCTGTGTGTCTCTCTCTATCCCTCTCCCTCCCTCTCTGCAAACCAGCTTGTCTCAGCAGGCACAAGCAAATTGCTTGCCTTTTTGGAATGTTGATGATTTTTCCTGTCCGAGCAAAGTTGATCTTTGACCTATATCACCCCGGGATTCCAATGGCCATTGATTTATATAATGGCCTATATATCCCGAACATCCCGAACAGCCGTTGTTGTACCAAGGAATTCTGCAAATCTTGACATGGTCTATAGTTTTGTTATGTGCTGATGTTACGAGGAGCTGGAGTCCTTGCCTCGCAAGGCTCGAGAAGCTGTGCGGTGACTCGGGCGGCGTCGCCAGAGACCCAAAGTGGGACGTCTCCCAAGCCCTAGGGAGTACCTTCTCAGAAGGTACTTAGTGCCTCCAAACCTACATAACAGTGTCTCCAAACACCGTACCTGAGAAGGTACGGCTGGATCCCTAGGGATGTCTGATGGCGGGCGGCGTGGAAGCCGTCCACTCGGCGGCGGCCCTCCGGGCAATCCCCATGATTCCTCGGCACCGTTGCGCCGGTGGCGCGTGGGCGCTGGGCCGCCACTTCAGCATCTCTCGGGAAACATCAAGAGCTTTGGCCACAAAGGGCTATACCAAAAACATGCCCAGACCGAGTCTGACGGTCTGACTGAGTTGGTCTTACATGCTATTCTTACGAGCAAATTTGCAAAGGGCACTAGGCCTCGCTAAGTGGCCATTGATGACCTCATTCTACTGGAGTTGGTCAAGTCAATGAGGTAAAGGAACAGGTTTTGCTGGGCCTTTGGACCTGCAAGGTCTACAATGTTCCAAACAATTAGGCCAATAATTTAAAGCTGACTGTATAGGTTAATTAAGCTTAGACACACTGACCGGCTAGGACCTGGACACCTCGGGGGTGCAAAATCGAAAAGGCCTGGGGATCCACAGAAACACGGCACACACGACCAAATCAAACAAAGACATTGACTCCCCCGGTTTTTGGTTGACATCTGATTCACGGAGTGTGGACCTCATGTTCTCCAACCGCGGGAGACCACCCAGCGGCGTGGTTTTCGCGTGTTCTCCGCCGTTCGGAAAGCTTCGAGGGAAGCGTTAGCAAACCTATATAATCCATAGAATTCCAAAGGATTCATGGGACAGCAGTCCTATATATGGCCTACGATTTTGGGTGGTTTTCATGTTGGTCACAGCCGTCCCATGGATCGCCTGGGCGGACTGGGAAGTTTTTGCCTAGGGTGATTTTAATGAAAGGTAGAAACAAAAAGCTACTAGGTGAGGTTGGAGGCCATTACTACTAGCAAGAAGTCCATTTTCCATACATGGATGGTCTGGCCAGGAAAAAACATGAAACTCATACATTGAGGAACATCCAAGCGCTGGCAACCCTCAAAACCCTTCGCACGTCTAGAAAGCATCCTTGCTTTCCAAGCAGCCCCTCGAAATGCCAACCTGGCCCTACCAGCCAAGCTTGGACTTCATGTTGCTGAAGAGCCCCGGCTTCCCTCCCGCAGCATTGGCATCCGCCGCGGCATCTGCCGCTCTGCGCTTCGCCACAAGGTGTTTGAAGCTTTCCTGTTCCTGCGATGTTCCGGCCGTGAAACGCCATCAAACATGAGTAAGCTATATATAATATATATATATATATATATCCATTGGGCACCCCTACCCCACACTACCTATAGTATCTATAGGCTTCCATTGGGCACCCCTTAGAGGGTCCTGGTATATATATTATATTGTTTAATTATATATGGTGAACTGGTGCTGTAGTCCAAACATCCCGTCGTCAAACAGTAAAGAGTAAAGACCATCAAATTGGTTGAGCTGGTTTTGTCTAAAAAGTCTGCCACAGGATCGAGTCAATATCCAGTGCAATTCAGTTCTTCGGGACATACAGTGCCAAACCTCGAAACCGGAGTCTCTGATTCAAAGCCTGGCAACCACAACGGGTCGTTGACCAAAAAATGGCCTTCCAGTCTGGCCCATGCCATCAGGTTCCATGTGGACCATCCTGTCTGGACATCAATCAGTAGTAATTAGGGTAGTCCATTAGGGTAGTCCATAGGAAGGTCCAGTCCATAGGAAGGTCCATAGGAGTACCCTAGGACTTCCCATTTGCACTACCATCCATTAGGGTAGTCCATTAGGGTAGTCATGCAAATGGGATGGTCCTGGAAGATGTTGCATTTGGAGAGTTGACCGTCCACACCGCTGGGCAGCCGTCCTGCTCAATGAAGTGCCGAGCGGTGTCCAAATAGGCCAAGTAGTCCTCCCGCAAAGCAATCACGTCCCAACCTGGTCCACTCTGACCCAGGTCTCAACCTGGTCCTGAACACATCATGAGTCGTGAACACGTGTATGATCAACTCCAGTCTTGCGAGGTCCGTTCCTGACCTGTAGGGTAGTCCAAATACTGAAACCAAACAAACCACCGGCCTTCTCAGATGCAAAACGACCCTCCAATGCCCCACGACTAAAAAAAACACATCCTTCCCCATCCAGCTCAGGTGGAGTCGCCACTCTGAACACCTCGCTTTTCTCCGCGGCACCGCCGCGCACCGTGGTTCCCAGCACGGCGGTTCCTGGTGCGTCCGCCCGTTGGGTGAGCCAGGGTGGGGCTCATCCTCACCTCGGCCGCGGCCGCTGAAGCGCGATTCGCAACGCGGAGCGAAGAAGCCTCTCAGCCTATCCTTGGAATTCGCTGCAGCAAGGGCCAAATACTGTACACTCCGACTCACTAACATGGAAGTGGAAAACACCCTGTTTGTAAAGGAAAGTAGTCTTCCAAGAGGCCATTTTCCACTTCCATGGTAGTGAGTCAAAGGGTAACTCATATGTCGCAGGATAGGGGATTCATTCAGGCAACAGGAACATCACACATCACCTGATCAGCCAAACCAGTGGTTTTTTTTCGGAGGTGCGGGGGGTGCATCGAGTTCCACAGAACGGAGTTCCTACGAACGAAACCACTCAGAGAAGGGGGGGACGAACATCGACGATCTCCAGCACCAGGCAAGCCATTTCAGGTCCACCGGCTCTGTGCATCCCAGGGACGACTAATGGGACTGCCGAGAAACGGACTGCCGAGAAACGGCCAGGGGTGGTGGTGCCAGGGGGGTCTGGCTTGATCGGCATGGAGTCCAGTCTCTGGGCAGGTCCGGCTCCATCGACCCCTGGGACTTCCCTGTCCAGAGGTAGCCAGTGACCTCGGACCCGGAAAACCAGGGGTACCGAACTGGGAGACGTCGGTCCGTTCGGGTCCATCAACCTCGGTCCGAAACGGCCATGTGTTCGCCCAGGTGTGGCAGGTGAAGCCGTGGAAAACGACATGTGGAAGACACGTCGTTAAAGGCATTGGTGGTCCGTGGTCCGTTTTTGTTGGTGGAGTCCCTATGGATCCACTGCCAACGTACCTCAGGTTAGGTAAGACTGGACCCTCCAAGAATACGTCTCCAATCACCGTACCTCAGAAGGTATATGGATCCATAGGGGATGATATCCCTTAAGGTTTCTGCATTGGACACCATTTCAGTGAAACGACGAAGAAGAACTGATCTGCTGCTCGGCTGCTGTACTCCGTCTCTGAAGAGAAGGAGTTGCGGAAAGGTAGGAGCTCTAAGGCAAACTGTTGTGTCCTTAGCCCGAGGGCCTTCCGAAAGGCCTCACGACCCTGCTGCAGTCAAGGTTTTGCAAAACAAAAGCCAGTCACAAAAGGGTGCCAGACTTGGAGGAAGTCGGGGTGCCCCTGTCACATCCACTCACTGGATGGGACCAAAAGCCTACCCCGATATGTGACTGCTGGAGCTTTCCTCTCGATCATCAGTGCCCCAAACCCTTCATGGTGGAGCCTAATATGGCCTACATTCACCACCCCCAATTGCCAAACCACCCAAATGGTAGACACTCCATGGGACTGCCATAATATGCCTACCATGTAGGCAGTCCATGGCAGTCCCATTCGTCACGCCTCTCGACCCAAACAGCCTCACAGGGCCAGGCCGTGCCCGGTGAGCAGTCGAGACCGCCCAAAGACTCCATGCACTGCCAGACCTGGAGTCAACCTGTTTGTACACCAGAAAATGGGCAGTAACCGGGTAGCACCTCTTGTCTATGTAGGGTACAATGTCCCATTTTCTATGGCACGAACTGGACTGTGTCCAGACCTGTCTTTCATCAAGTCCAGTCCCGTGAAGCTGGGCTGGTCCGGTCGAACGTTGGTGATGATAAGTCGCTTCCCTACCCGTTTGGCCTCCAGTCGTACCTTCTGAGAAGGTGTTTGGGATGGGTGCCAGGAGGGTCCAAATACCTTCTGAGGAGGTACTTGGAGGTGTAGGGCTAGGGCTCCTGGCCACCTCAACCTCCTTTTCAGTGAAGGTGGGACTGGGGTGGGTGCCAAAGGCCTTCTGTGCCGCACCTGAGGAGATGGGCCAGGAGCCCAAACGGGAGTCTTTCAAGATAGAATCAGGGTCCGGAAAGGGTTGGGTTTTTTGGTTTGTGTCCAGGCCAAAGCGTTTCGAGGTCGAAGGACTCCTTCGGGCACCTTGACGGCATGAGTTTGACCTCATCTGGAGATGATCATACCAAACTATGCCAAAACCATCCACAAGCATACCTCCCAAAAACCAACTCAGCTTGAGGTTCCTCACCCAGCTAACCAGTGCCTGCAAAGAACAAGCACCCGTGGGACTACCCGCGGGGTCTGAAGCTGAACCTATATAATATATATATATATAGTATTATATATATAACCGGAACCAACCATATCCTCAGGTTCGGTGGTTAGACCCCTCTGGCACCCACCCCAACCATATCCTCACCTCAGGTGGGCCAGGAGCTCAAACGGGAACATTTAGAAAACAAAAACGAAGGTGTTCAGGACTGGTCGTTAGACTTGTCGGGAATGGTTCGTTCGACTGAAACATCTTGAAACCCATTTGTTGGCCATGGCCAGTTCTCAAGCATGGTTGGCCCCCCAAAAGCTCAAGCCGGGCCCTCAAGCCGGGCCCTCTCTGCCCCTCTCCCACCGAAACCCAAGCCAATTAATGCTTGTTAGGAATCCAAAGGCCGTCCCCCTGAGGGAAGCTCACTTCCTTGGTCTAAAAAGCGGAACGTTTTCGTGGTGCACGTTCCGCTCGGAACGGCATGGTGTAAAACCGATCTGTCAAAACCATATTTAAAACCTATACACGCCAAGATGCGATTGCAAATTGACGTATTTCCATGAGATCACCTGGATTCTCTAAATGATCTACCTCGGACACGTATGGGTCCCTGTTTAACCCTGGGCATATCGGGCATGTCCCATCCCGAATCCGGGTCAACCGTCCCAGGTCTTCGTCCTTCGACCGGGGCGGGTGACACATGGCCATGGCTCGTGCCGGTGAAGTCATTGGATTTGCGGCTTCGGAAGCTTGAAAACAACTAGAACACATTCACCACATTCAGAGGATTTAACATGATTTAACTATTTAACCATAGGGAACATAACAAATCTCCTGAGAAGGTGGGGTGGGTGCGGAGGACGAATACCACCGAACCTGAGGAGATGGGCCAGGAGCCCAAGACCGGATGAAATCATGGAGTGGCATTGACCGGTACCGGAGCAATGGTCTGACCGGTCGAACTCGAGGTCATCCACGTAGCCACCAACAGAGGTTAAGTGACCTGAACTAGGACCCGTCATCAGGGGTACCGAACTGGGATAGTCTATAGGGTTCTTCAACCTCTGTTGGATCCACGTACCCAATTTGATGATTTCGTGTAAGAATCAGCTCAAATGCTCCAGCTTCACCCCAAAGAAAGCTCACCACATGGTACAACATGGAACAAGCCTCCCGGAAGAACATAGAAGCCCTGGAAGTAGGATAGGTCTCTGGAAGAACATGATCTTGAAACCCCAGTTCCACATGCAAACACAATCAAAAATCACCAAATTCCGACTGTCGGCGGACTCTCATCGAAGCAAAAACAGTTCATTAAACAGCTGCTATAACCCAGACACTCCATGGGACTGCCATCTATGCCGATCAAGCCAGACCCCCCTGGCACCACCTCTGGCCGTTTCTCGGCATATCTACGGCAGTCCCAGGTTCGGGGTCGTGTCCGGGTCATGGTACTCTTCGGACCCCAGACCCGTGACGTTCCACCCTCCAAATCGGAGCCCAACACCTTGGACGGCCTTGGGGCAGCTGGTTTCTCCGTCACCTCTCGGATCCTCTTCCCGATGGAGGACCTTCGCCCAGCCGCTTCATCCAGTGACTCCACCAGCGGCTGCAAGCTGGATTTCACCTCCGCGATTTGACTGCTGCCCATGAGTGGCAGCTCTGGCTTCTGTGGCACCTCCACATGGAGACCGATCATGGCAGTCTCAGGTCCGTGAGTCTTGCAGCTCTGGCGCAGTCTGACGTCTCAGGTCTGGAGCCGCGAGGCGGTGGTCGGAGCCCAAACCCAAGCGCTTAAACACTCCATGAAACTGCCATATATGCCTATCAGTTGGAGTGGTGCCAGAGGGGTCTGGCTTGATCGGCTATGCCATACATGCTGGGTCACGTACCAGCAACCTACCGACTCTACGAGGTCTCCTTTGGAGGGTTGTTCGGCCACAAGCGCCCGGCCAACCATTGGTGAGGCAGGGAGGGTGCTGGTATGCAAGTGCGGCCGACCATTCCCTAAAACCTCCTGGCCATTCCTGGCCCATATCCTCAGGTTCGGTGGTTAGACCTCCAAAGCCCACCCGAAACCATATCCTCACCTCAGGTGGGCCAGGAGCCAAAACGGGATTTGGACCCATTTGGTGCTTTTGGGGTGGATCCACATGGTCGGCGGAGCGGGGGAAGCCTCCAAGAAGCAACGGTCGACCTCGGAGCAGCGAAAGATCAAGGATGGATGATAACAGAGTTTACCCAGTCGAGACTCTTTCTGAAGACCCCAAGAGAAACAATGTTTTTCCTTTGAATGAACCCGCTTGTTATGTCTTAATGGATGTTGATGGCCCATTTGGATGTGGATCCAAAAGGTCAACGAAAATCTATTGTGACAGTCAGGCCTGACACTTCTCCTTTTGCCCGATCTTTGGGCTCCTACATCCAAACCGTGTCTTGATACTACCCCTTCCTCACTTCTGTGCCCAACGTCAAGAAACAAACACCATCAAACACCCCATGCTGGGGCGCCCGGACGAAGCAGGAACTCCTGTGACGAGTTACTTCTTGCAAGATGCAGTGAACACAAGGCCGAGGCACTTTGCAGGCAGAACCCACAGAAACAAAATATAACAAAGATAAACCATCTTGAACAATCTGCAAATCGTCTATACCTATAGGGACCACCAACCCAGCTACAAAATCCTACAAACCTGATCCTTTTCAGATCAAGAAAGGAGGTCATCTCTGAATGGAACCATTTCCATCATCCTAGCCGGTAGACTTGCTGCATGGAGTTTCCTTTTCTGTTTTCTTTCCTCTCTCCGGTCGTGTCTTCATTTTGCTTCGGTGTTGGGGTTGTTTGGGCGAGCCAAAGGGAAGCGAAGGGTGTGTGCCCGAAGAATTGAACAAGTTGGTTGTGAGTATACCAGACCATCCATGTACGGAGTATTTACCGATGTTACATTGACCGATAAAACATCTTTTGCCACCACACAGTGATTGGCAAATATTTCAGTCCCATGGATTGTTGGGGAATAGAAAAAATCTAGTTTGCTTTCGCGTTTTGAACAAACAAGGTTAATTTTTTGTCCAACTCTTCGTTTTGAACGGGGGCACCCATCCCCCAACAAAATTAAAGGATGTCCACCTTTCCTGGCTAGGCACGTCTATCATTTGCAAACGGGAAGGGTGATCGGACGACATGGAACTTCCACATCAAACGAGTCTACCACAAACCCTATAGGCCGACAGCTTCTCCCAAAAGGGGATTAATCAACAGTCAACACACCCAACTGTATAATATGTGTTCATCACTATAAATTTGGAATATGCAAAACCAGGAGCAGCTCACCAATCAATCTGACATGACATGCTTCACCTTCTAGGAATCCACCTGCCTTCGAAGCTACCACGGGACCCCGCCCGCGGTCTGCAGGTTTTGCCCCGGGGGTCTACAACAAAGTGTCGAACACATCACCCTCAAAAAGATTACGCCACCGTCGACCCGAAACAGTTTGTGTTTTTGACTATCGAAACACTCTGCAACTAGAGATTGCGGCGAGACAAAGGAATAAGGCCAAGCAATGGTCGAAAACCAAGGAAAGGATAGCAAGGAGCCAAGAAATATGCCTTGATTTCGTAATTATTCTGGCATTCTGGTCATGGAATGATTATCCAAACAAGCTCAAGCCACGAAATGTCGCAAAGCTGAGCAAACTTAACATCTCTACTCCATCTCAAGCAACGAATCCACTGCCAAAGCTTTTCCAGGTAGATGGAATCATCAAGTGAGTCACCCGACGGCGCAAGAGCGGGTAAGCAAGAATGTCAACACTCGCAAGTCGTCAGAACACAACGTTCCAACTTCTTTGGAAGGAGAGCCCTTCTTATTTTGGACAAAGATTAAAGCACACCTAGTGTGAAACTCTGCAAGTTTAGTGCAATAAATAAAGAAACAAGACCACCAGGAAAGAAATTTACAGTATATATATATATATACAGAAATGTCTACAGGGGAACCTAACAAAAACGTCCTTGATATACATGTCTAGACCTCTCCTGAACAAAACCAATTAGCAGGATAGGGATTTTACCACATAACACACAAAGCTCCATAGACTGCATAGCTCCTGGACCGCAGAAGGAACCAAATGAAGACAAACAAACACACTTCTTGGGGCCCAAGGGGCTTGGCTCAAGGAGCCGAGATGTCTTTTCTGTCCGATGGATTCAACAGGATTCAACCTAAAGGAACATTCAAACAAAAGGAACCAAAAGGAACAACCAATAGGGGATTCAACCTTAAGATACCTGGAGAGCAAAACCGGGAGAGCCTTCCTTCCTTAGACCCTCACGTCCTCTCCCTTCACCGGTCTCGCCTCTGGGTGGTCTCTGGAACCGCTTCGGGCGCTTGTCGGGTCACCTGGCGCGGGCACAGCCAGCCACAGCCGGAACAACCGTGTGGAGTGAAGCGGAAGCATCCAACTACAAGCCTAGGCTTCCTGGCCCACCATTAATTTAATAGGCTTTACCGAATCAACTAAGGATTTTACACTACAAACACCAGGTCGTTCCCATTTTTTTAATAGTCTTGGAAGTCTAGGGACAAGCTCCTTTTGGGACACGCAACTGGACACGCAACAAGACCCAGCACCATGGAGTGATCATTTGGAGGGAAACATGCATACACTCCAACGAACACAGAAAACATGGTTAAGTGGATGGCACCCACTCTTTGTAGAGGAAAGTAGTCTTCCAAGGGGCCATGCCATCCACTTCCATGTGATGTGTTTGTCAGAGCGTAATTGTTTCTACAAGCCGCCCAAACCTCCGTGCTGGCCATGGTCGTCTTTGCTAGCCAGACCACTGATCCACCAGCCTTGCATCCTTGTCGGGCAAGTCGCGGAAAAGCGTATATTATGTTATATGTAAATATCCCTAGGGATCCACATACCTTCTCAGAAGATACTTGGGCCCTCCTGGCGCCTACATACATAGTCTCCAACATCACCGTACCTGAGGAACGGTACGACTGGATCCGGTATATGATGACCTCTTCGATGTTGCCAGTCTGAGATTTCTAGGGATCCATGTCATCTCGTTTGGGCCGGTGGTTTGGGCCGTCCCAGCCATATTTTGGTGTCTCCAATCCCCAGCCATCAGCCTTGTCAAAGGATATGGATCTATATACGGGATGGGCACCGCATGTGTCCACCTGGGGTGATGGCAAAGCAACAATGTATGTCGTACTCCGTAGACCCCAAAATGGTGAGAGCAATGAGCTATGTGCAAGGGTAAGCTCATCTTCTTGCAATTTCCAGAAGCGAGAGTCAAAAGACACTCTGAAACTTTCCAAGTCGATGTTTAGATGCATGCAGGACCACCTTCCTCGCAATATCAGTGTCACATCCTTGAACACATGGCCAAGACAAATCATTCAGCAATAGAGTGACGCAGAAAAGGCATGTCATGAGCACGATAACGATGTTCAACACATGCTTCAAGATTCATGTCTGTCAATGTGTCTGTATGTGTTTTTGAGTTCAGTCTCCATATAGGGCTCCAAATGCCTGCTCACAAGGGTCTGTAACGACCCTCCTGGCAAACACGCCAAACACCTTCTCAATAGGTGTTACTAGGCATTTGGAGCCCCAGCGTCTTACTGCTGAGGGTGGTATTGGTCTCTTTTGCACGTTGCAAGGGTACCAGAACAAACCATGGCTCGATCATACGAAGTGGACCTGCATTTCCAAATCGGACTGGAAAGGCGAAACGACAGCAAAGACTTTAGCGAAGTTACTCTACAGTACAACACAAACAACAAAAACATACAGAAACGCTTGATGATTCTACTTGCCCCCACAGCTTTGCCGGAGACTCACGGTCAATGAGTCAAAGGTTGTCTTCTGATTCAAGCAAAAGCCGTACAACTTCGGGACGACTCTATGGACCCTAGCCGTCCCCCCAGAAGACTCTCCTGAACCATGGCCAAATGCTAGCACGTCCGGGTTCTAGGCTGATCTTGTCATTCCAAAGGCGCGCCTTCGCAAGAACACGCCAGGTCCCCGCTTCCACCCAAACCCTCACACTGCCTTCACAAACAAAACACAAACAGCCTCAGCCGACTTCTGAGGCAAAGATTCGTGAATAATCCAGGCGCCAGCCCATGCTTTCTTGTTCTTGTTATATAGTGGGGTCCTTCCAAGTCCCCCCAGCAAGGAGCTTGGATGAAGAAATTGAAAGATCCACTGAAATCATTTGGATAGGAGTGTCCACATAGGCCATAGGTGACCCAGGTCAACCATAGGGTGACCCTGGTTGACCACATAGGTTAACCACCCTGGTCAACCAGGGTGTCCCCCTGCCATGACCATATCCAAATCAAGTCCTCAATATGGGCACACCAGGGGCAAAACACGGGTACCAGGGTCATCCTGTCTGGGTGTCCTGGCGTTCGACTACCCTACCCTACGTAAACAGCTCTCCTACTCCAGGGCACCCGGACAGGAAGTGCTAGGTATGAACTGTGGAGGGTCATGCCTGGCATGACTGGTGTACTGGATTCAAGCCTGGGCCGAACCCCCCAACGGACGTCCAGCGCGAGCGCCCGGTCGCCACGCTCAGCGACCGCCTGGCGCTTCAGCTCGATGACCTCTTGCCGGAGCTTCGCGCCTGGGCGGGGAGGGTGGAGAAAGGAGCGAGGAGTTTAGATAGACAGAGATTACAAGAAATAGATAGATAGATATATAGATGGATTGGATTGGATTGGATTAGATACGCTAGATAAGCAAATAGATAGATAGATAGATAGAGATAGATAGAGATAGATAGAGATAGATAGAGATAGATAGAGATAGATAGAGATAGATAGATAGATAGATAGATAGATAGATAGATAGGTGAATAATGATAGATATTGCTTGGACAATTTCGATTGACATGTGGCCATGAGGCCCAGGATGG